TGTCCCAAAGGTTCTGGTAGGATGTGTTTTGATTCTTGTTTGATTCTATGAATATCTTTATTTCATCCTTAATTTCTTCTATAACCCAGTAATTTTTGAGCAAGGTGTTGTTCAGTTTCCATGTGTTTGATTTTTTTCCTTGCTGTTTGTGTTTTCCACTCTTATGGCTTTATGGTCAGAAAAGATGCTTTGTAATATTTCAATGTTTTGGATTCTGTTAAGGCTTGCTTTATGGCCTAATATGTGGTCCATACTGGAGAATGTTCCATGGGCGTTGGAAAAGAAAGTATACTTGGCTGCTGTTGGGTGGAGTGTTCAGTATATGTCTATGAGATCAAGTTTATTGATTGTGGCATTTAGATCTTCCATGTCTTTATCGAGCTTCTTTGTGTCCTTGACGGAAAGTGGTGTTTTGAAGTCTCCTACTACTATTGTGGAGCTATCTATCTCTCTTTTCAATGCTGTTAGAGTTTGTTTTATGTATTTGGAGCCCTGTCATTGGGTAGGTAAATATTTATTATGTTATGTCCTCTTGGTGTACTGACCCTTTAATCATTATATAGTGTGCTTCCTTATCCTTTGTAGTGGATTTTACTTAAAGTCTTTTTTGTCATAGGTTAATATTGCCACTCCTGCTCTTTTTTCAGTATCGCTTGCTTGATGTATTTTTTTCCATCCTTTGAGTTTTAGTTTGTGTCTTTAAATCTAAGGTGTGTGTCTTTTCGGCAGCATATAGACGGATCGTGTTTTTTTATCCATTCTGCCACTCTCTGTCTCTTTATTGGTGCATTTAATCCATTTACATTCAGCATAATTATTGATAGGTATGCATTTAATGTTGTCATTTTGATGTCTTTCTTAATGTGTTGTTCACAGCTTCTTTGTTCCATTTTATTTTCTGTGCTGAGTCATTTTTCTTGATGTATTTTCTCTTCATCTTTTTCATTGTTGATTTTTTATTTGCTGAGTCTTTATATTTTTCTTCCTTTTTATTTTGGTCTGTAGGATCATTAGTTTCCTTTGTGATTACCTTAATATTTACCCCTACTTTTCTAAGTTTAAACCAGTCTTTTATTTCTTTATATCACCTTGGCTTCCTCATGAAAGATCTATGACTGCATTTTTAGTTCCCCTTTTTTGTTTTAATGTTGTCATCTTTTATATATTGACATCTCTATTTCCTTATTTTCAGTGTTTTAGCTTTGATTTACTTTTGTGACTTCCTTGTCTGGGTTAATATCTGGTTGTTCTGTCCTGTGTTCTAGTCTTGGGTTGTTATCTGATGTTAATTGATTTTCTAAGCAGAGGACTCCCTTTAATATTTCTTATAATTTTGGTTTGGTTTTTGCAAATTCCCCAAACTTCTGTTTATCTGGATATGCCCTAATTTTGCCATCATATTTGAGAGACAGTTTTGCTAGATATATGATTCTTGGCTTGCAATTTTTTTTTCTTCAAGGCTTTATAGATGTCATCCTATTGCCTTCTTACCTGCATGGTTTCTGCTGAGTAGTCCGAGCTTATTCTTATTGACTCTCCTTTGTAGATGACTTTTTGTTTATCCCTAGCCACTCTTAAAATTCTCTCTTTATCTTTGGTTTTGGCAAGTTTGATTATAATATGTCTTGGTGACTTTCTTTTGGAATCTACCTTATGTGGGATTTGATGAATATGTTGGATATCTTCTCATCTTTCATGATATCAGGGAAGTTTTCTGGAACAAATCTTCAACAATTCTCTCGTGTTTTCTGTTATCCTCCTTTGTTCTGGTACTCCAATCACTCGTAGGTTATTCCCTTGATAGAGTCCTGCATAATTCTTAGGGTTTCTTCATTTTTTAAATCCTTTTATCTGATTTTTCCTCAAATACGTTGGAGTCAAGTGCTTTATCTAAAATCTCACTAATTCTGACTTCCATTGCTTCAATTCTGCTCCTATGACTTTCTATTGAGTTGTCTAATTCTGAAATTTTATTGTTAATCTTCGGGATTTCTGATTGCTGTCTCTCTATGGATTCTTGCAGCTTTTTAAATTTGTCTTTATGCTCTTCTCTAATCTTAAGTTCCTGCATTGCTTTATCTGTATGTTCTTTGGCTTGTTCTTTTTGCCTGATCTCCTTTCTGATCTCTCGAAGAGTTCTGTATATTAATCTTTTGTATTCTACCTCGATAATTCCAAGAAGTTCTCTTCCTCCAGAATATTTCTTGATTCTTTGTTTTGGGAGCTTGCTGAAGCCATCATGGTCTGCCTCTTTATATGATTTGATATTGACTGTTGTCTCCTATCCATCAGTAAGTTATTATATTTATTTATTTTATGTTTGCTTACTGTGTCCTAGCTTCTTGTTTTTGTTTTGATATGCCAACTCGTGTGAGCTGGTTTGATTATGGGCACCTTTGAAGCTTCAACGTCCTGTCACCAGGTGGTTAGATCTGTTAGTAGGTTTGTGAGCCCAGGTGTCTGTTTATTTTCTTGTATGGATTCAGCTCAGGTGTCCAGGTAATTAGTCACCAACTGTGTGGTACAGGCTCTCACCTACAGTCCTAGACAGGCAGGGGTGATTTGTGTAGGCACAGGTATCTGGCTGCAGTAGAGGATCACACCTGAGCAAGGCAGGAGGTTGATGGCTGCCCCTGATTGTCTGGGAGGAAATCATGTCCCTGTTCTCTGGAGTGTGTAGGTGCATGGGTTTTGCAGCCGGACTGTGAGCACCCAATGCTGTTGGCTGTAAGGACTGGGAGGCATCACTTTTTCTTGGACCCCTGTCGCAGATGTCTAGGTGGCATGGGTGGAGCCACCAGTCCTCAGGCCCCTGATGTGGGTAGGTGAGGACCCTGCTTAATGGGCAGAGCAGTGTCAATTATCATGAACCTACCACTTCATCATGTAGCTGATACAGTTGAAGTTAGCCTTCAGATATATACCCTATTGTACTGTGGTAATGAGGACTATGTTGTTAAATTGGGCCCACACAAGTCTATGCAGGGGTGAAAGGCATTCAAAGTTCGCGGACCCCTTATGCCTGTGCCTAGGCAAAGGATCTCTGTCTACCCTGAGTTTCCAGCTTAGGGAAGGTGGCAGATTGTTTTTTCCTGTTTGTTAATTTGTTCCCCCTCCAAGGCTGGAAGAATGGTTCAGGGTGTGTGACAGGTCCTACTTCCACCCCAGGGTACTCAGCAATCTCTGAAGCTGGCCCAGGACCTGGTGCAGAGCAGGAAGGGGGCAGGTAAATGAGATAAAGATTTTTCCCAAAGGGCTTTTTTTTTATCCTTACGGTAGATCAGACACATGTACGTATCTTTTGCTGATTGTGTGCTGCATTTCACTGGTTCTGGAGGCCCGAGTAGACTCTCTGCCACTCCGTCTCTTCTGATGTGGAAAATGCCTCTCGAGCACCACTGCTTGCATCACTGTGCCTGCCAGCCAACCCGGCCTGGTCAGGTCTGGCAACTCCTCGCTGCTTCCAAACTGTCTCTCCCTTCCTCTGCCACTCAGTCCTATTCCTCAACTTTTCCTTTGACATTCAGGGCTCCTAGATTGTCATATATGATCTATTCACTTGGTTTTTTTGGTCTTTGTTGTAAGAGAGACCACAGAAAACATCTGACCACTCTGCCTTTTTGGCCCCACCTCCATAAGTAGGACTCTTAGTTCATGCCTTTAAGGGGCCATAGAAAAGAAGATATGTCCCCAAGTAACCATTCCAAAGTTTCCCATCTGGAAATGTTTTAAAGCAAGTATGTAGGTGCCTCTGTGTGACTGACCTACTCCAAAGAGGTGCACTTGAGGTCACTTTGCACTGAATGCACCTTGTATAATAACAGTGTTTAGGCAAAGCCCAGAAACCCTGAGTCAGGACTGGGCACTGCAGTTGAGGGGAGGGTAATGGGCAGGGCTGCCTTATCTACTCTTCAGACTCACCTGCAGTGCACAGTTGCATTGTGCAAATGGGTCCCCAGAAACTCACCCACCATAACTTTTGTCTTTGTAGCTGATGACTGTGAACTGCTGATCAAGCTGCCCAAGGTGAAATGCCTACGTAATAATGAGCGGCAAGGTAGGTCCAACCTGTACTGCTGGCCAAAGACCTCAGCATATGCACTGGGGGAGAGGATTGGTGGTGTGTGTGTTTCAGTGTGTGTGTTGCGGGAGGGGATTGGTGGTCTGTGTGTGGGTTTGGGGGTGTGTGTTTGGGGAGGGGATTTGTGGTAGTGTGTGTGTGTTGAGGGAGAGGATTGGTAGTATGTGTGTGTGTTTGGGTGTGTGTTTGGGGAGGGGATTGGTGATGGTGTGTATGTGTTTGGGTGTGTGGGGGGAATGTTGGCTCCTCCATGGTCTTGCTGAACAATGAAGAGACAGTGGCACTCAGCCATTTGTCCTTGACTACAGGTCTGGTCCGATCCCGGATTCGGGGCGCTGGCATTGCCCAAGGCAGCACTCTTACTTTCCTCGACAGCCATTGTGAGGTGAACAGGGACTGGCTCCAGCCCCTGCTGCACAGGGTCAAAGAGGTGAGTGAGGCTGAGGAACAAGTAGATCTCATGCCCCGCACTTCGCTAGCTCTCAAGCACATTACTAAACATATTTCCCTCAATCCTACTGGGAGATGGAAAAAACAGAAATTGCTGTCCCCATTTTAGAGATGAGGAAACTAAGCCTGGCCAAGGTCACACAGCCAGTCAGGGGTGGAACAAGGGCTGTGACTTCTTCGTTCTGTTACACTGGGCTCCACCTGCTGAGTCACCTGCAGCAGGCCTGCTTGGTTGGGACTGCAGGCAGCTGGCAGAGGACACATACAGCTTCCTAGGCAAGAGAGAACCCTTGTTTCTACCAGACAGCAGAAGTTGCAGAGCTAGTATTTTTGTAGGAAGGAAGCAGCAGAATTAACCAAACTCCATCACTCATTTTCTGAGGCCTCTGTCTTACCTCCCCCCATTCATCAACAGTGTCACCTACACCCTCACCCAAAGGCACAATGTCAAGGAATGTCAGCTTAATGCTAAGATGAACTGAATCTCTTGCCTTTTTCTGCCTTTGCTCTCGGACTGTGTATGCTTCCTGTCTCCATGTCTCTATCATTCCTCTGGAAAGTGAAAAAAATAATTTAATTTTTTATATTATTATTTGATATTCCAAAAGTCCATGAACTCCTCTACTTGTCTACAGAATGCACTGTGTATTGTAGATGTCAATGTTAATAGCTGGAATTTGTACTGCTCTTTACTGCCATAGAGTTATTGACTTGTACAATTGTTCTGTAAAGTTGGAGATTGCATATTTTTACATACACATTTCACAGGTGAAAACGCAGTCTGAGAGAAATTATCTAACTTGGCCTAATATTCCTTAGACAGTACTAGCAGCACCAGAAACTTGATCTTGCCTCAATAGCATCTTCCCTGTGCTGTGGTTATTTCCTGCTTGCTCTTCATGTAGCTATATGACTCCTGCCTGCATAATGACAGTATTAAGACGATGAAAGAACTGAGAGATGTAAATGCCTCAAAAGAGAACTAGGAAATCCTTCACAGCATTATCCATTCCAATGGCAGAGCCTTGATGAGACTGCAGAGTTCTCACCCATAGGCCAAGATACTAAACTCCATCCACTGACCATTTTCCCTGAGATTGGGAGGGCTCATACACTTACTATTGTGTAGGAAATCTCCTCTTCCCCTCTTTTTGACATAATCCAGGCAAAGAGGTCTGGATTCAGCAGTGTTAATTTATGAATAGATCATTCAGTTAAGGAGAATTTGCCTGGTACTGGGGGACCTTCCCTTGGTGCCCACATCTACAGTCACAACAGCCCTCCCCAGCCTCCTTCACTGACATTACTGGGCTGCCCCTTTTCCCTGAACATGTTCTGACAGTCCCACTGCTCCACTTCTGGCCAGGTCTTCCTTTCCCTGCACAGCCTTCTCCTACTCTCCCCCTATACAACTCCCCTTGCTCTTCAGGCCTCCCTTCACACCTTCTTCCAGGAAACCTGCCTTGACTGCTGGAGCTAGCTGGGATCATTCCCAGCCATAACTGATCACTTGGCCTTACAATTTCCCTTTCTGAGTTTAGTTCCCTGTCTCCCCAAACAGATTATAAACCCAATGGAGGCACTGACAGGTCCGACACAAGGTACCTATCATAGAGTAGGTACTCAGTGTTCAGAAATCAGAAATGATAGTAAGAAGAAACCAGATGCAACGAGGAGGTGATAAAGTTGGAATAGCAGACCCATTTCCTGCCCCCAAGTTAATCAGTAGACACTTATTGACTTCGTATTTTGGACTGAGCCCCAAGGTTTGGAATGGGCCAATTAAAGCAAATCCACACCCTGCTTAGTAAGATTCTTTGCGGTTCCTTATGTAACTGGCACTGCTGGTTTGCAAATGATTTCTAAATAAGAAGGCAGAGTAGGTGACCATATGGGGAAAGGATGAGAGAACTTTAGTAACAAGGAAATCCTTTCTGAGGATGAAATATGTAAAACATTTTTGTCACCTCTGGGATACTGAAGTGGGAAAATCCACTCCCACAGGAACATTTACACTCCCCCCCACCGCCACAAAGGCCTTTCTGCCTGTGAGTTGCTGACACCTCTACAGGGCCAGCTCAAATGATCCTGCCACAGCACAAGCCTGTAGCTAAAAAGAAGCTGGAGTGCCCTAAATAGAAACGACTGAGTTTGCAAAATCAGAACGAAAAAGAAAGGTTAGAGAATCTAGGAATATTTTGCTGGGGAAGAAAAAGATGGGGTTGGAGACAGTGTCTCTGATTAAAGGGTATTTTATACTGAAGAGACAAGGTCGTTCCTATTTAAACTAAGATCAGATCATACAAACAAGAAATAGATTTGAAACTCAAGAATGTGGTTCAGGTAAAATGGAAAACCTCTTGGCATGGGAGCAGAGGAGAGAGGCAGAGGAGACTGCCAAAACTATTGTTTCTTTTACAAAAGTAATCCACGGTCATTATAGAAATTTTGGAAAATATAGAATGGTAGAATGAAAACTAATCAACCAACATTCTACAATTCAAAGACGTCCACTGTTAGCCCATCTAGGATGGTTTTTCTTTTGCAGAAAGTGTCTTTCTACATAGTTGTAATCATACTGTATTTACACAATTTTGTATTCTGCTTTTTCCCCTGAACTTTATACGTTAGTATATTCTGAGTGATCTTGTTAAGGTAAATTGCCCTTTGCCCAATTGTGTCCACTGAACATTCACAAAGTTCGTCTCAGAGGAAGAAATGAAGGGATGCCGTCCAGGCATGGATTCAGTGCAGCCTGCCTGCTCCTCCCTCCTCTCAGTCGAGGGGGCTGTAACTCTTCACTCGGCAACACCTTTGGGGCCTCCTACCTCTGTTTGGCTCTCCTTCCTCTCCAAGTTGCTGGCTGTGTTCCCTGGGGTGAAGTCAGGGAGCCTAGGCTCTCATTCGGTGGGGGTGAGAAGACTTCTACAGGGTGGAGCATAGTCAGGGCTAGAAACTGACCCCAGGGGCTCTCTACCCTGCTTGCCAGCCAGATACATCTATCACTGCGGGGGACTCAGCCTTCCCAGGCTGACTTCGTCCCTGGAGGATGAGTTAAGGGAGCCTGCTTTCCTCAGCAGCCTTAATGAGCCTGCGAAGCCCTTTCCATCCCAGTGGCTCTGAGTCCATCTCAGAGGCCCTCTCTGAAAAATGCTCTTGTTTCTCCATCCATGGCCAGCTCACCCAGGGTGACCAACAACCATCAGGCTCCCTCCACCCCTCTTCATCGTCCCCTTCCCAAGTATGAGCCCTGCCCACTGCCAAGTTGCTAATTGCTTGGGAAGTCAGTCAACCTAAAGATTGAACTCACCCTCCCTAAAACATTCGCGCAAAGGGCTGTACAGCATCATGGGGGCTTCAGAGGCTTTTGTCAAGACCCTAAGTCTGGATGATGGAATGTTCCTCCAGGATGTTCTCTTCGAGGTGGGAGCATGAGTGTGTATCAGCCTGTGTTTGCATGTGTCTTTGTGTATGTCTTGTCTCAGGGTAAAAAAGGTGATTTGATCTTGTGAGTGGAAGTGGAAATTTTAAACTGTAATTGGAGTTTGGGATTTTCAAAAATAGAGATAAGAAAGAGGATGAGCTCCCACTGTCATACACTGTCCTCAGTTAGTGTTTTACACATTGAAGTCTCCCCAGTTTTCCTTCTCTCCCCTTTAATTACATGCTGATACATGAAACAAGGACCAAGTTGTGTCTTTTTAAAAACATATGCTCCTCCCCTTATCTACATATTTCTTTAGTAGGGAAAAATGTTTTAAGAAAGCTCAATTGCTATAGCATTTGGTAAATGTATATAAATAATAGCTGACATATTCTTATTCCTCCCAAAAACATGTTAGGGAGGCAGGAGAGTTTTGCAAAGAATAATCTGTCTTCATTTTATAAATGAAGAAACAGAGTCCCAGAGAGTGTGCTAATTTGCTTAAGGTCATATGCATTCTAGATGGCAGAACAAGACCTAGAATCCAGGTGTCCTGTCAACTAGTCCGCGTGTTCCTACCACTGCCCACAGCATCGCCTCCTCTATGGCCTCTCCTGACCCCCTCCCTCCAGGCTAACGTGGAGGTCCCGGGCTGTGTGACTACACACCACATTATAATCAACTAGTCACCAGTCCAGCACCTTGTCTAGACTGTGAGGTCTTACTCATCATTGGATCTACCCCAGTTGAAGACTGCGATTGTTAAGGTTGTGTGTCAACTTGGCTAGGCCATGATTCTCAGTAGTTTGGCAGTTATGATGTAGTTTGGCAGTCATATAATGATGTGATCACCTCCATGATGAGATTTGATGTAATGTGATCACCACCATGATGGGATCTGCTGTGAGTAGTCAATCAGTTGAAGGGGAGTTTCCTTGGGGATGTGGCCTGCATCCAATACAGGTGGACTTTCTGGCAAGGCTTGTGAACTTTTGCTCACACTGGATCTTGAAGCTGGCTCCCATTTGTCTGACCTCCAGTCCTTGGGGCTTGAACTAGCAGCTTACCTGCCATCTTGCCTATTGATCTTGGGACTCATCGATCTTCGCAGCCTGTGAGCAAGTGCCCTGCTGTCTGACCTGCTGATCTTGCATTTGCCAGCCCCTGCGGCCACGTGGATCAGGAGAAGCCTCTAGCCTGACCCACGGACTTGGGACATTCCAGCCTCTACAACTGCATGAGCCATTTCCTTGATATAAATCTCTCTATATATATATTTGTATGCTTTACTGGGTTTGCTTCTCTAGGGAACCCAGCCTAAGACAATGACTTCCAAAAACTATGAAAAACAAAGCAAAACAGTTGCTGTCAAATTGACTCCAACTCATGGCAACCCCATGTATCTCAGAGTAAAACCGTGCTCCATAAGGTTTTCAGTGGCTGATTTTTCAGAAGTAGTTCACCAGGCCTTTCTTCCAAGGTGCCTCTGGGTGGACAGGAACTGCCAGCCTTTTGGTTAGCAGCCAAGCATGTTAACTCTTTGCACCAACCAGAGACTCCTAAAACATAGTAGTGCTCGATAATCTTGGTTGATTAAGTGAATGATTTTCTCTCTTGGAGTCTTTTTATTGCCCATTCACAACGTGGTTTTAAATACATAAATCAGTGGAGAAATGAGAGCTATGAGTCACAGTGGTGATTGGTGGCCAGTGGCCACATTCATTCAACCCTCTGCCTTACTCCTGGTGAGGACCATGGGGTAGGAACTTAGACTTGTAGGCAGGGAGAAGAGTCATAGTCCAGGATCTTCCAGGGATTCCTCTAGCTGTCTGGTTGAGCCTGAGTGTGGTACTAGCTTTAAAGATACGTGGAAAACTCCCCAGCATCAGGTCTAGGCATTTTTACGGAAAGTCCCTCAATCCCTGAGCTTACAGGAGGAGAAACCATCTAGTTCAGCCGTGATTGACCTACTCAACCTTCTGCAGCTACTGACACAATATCCTAAGAGGGAGTTAACACACATCTTCTTTCAGCCAGCGCTGACTGAACACCTGCTACCCACCAGGCTCTAGGTGGGAGCTGTGGAATATGAAAATGGAGCAGGGACTGATCCCCCTAAGTCACTCAGAGAGGCTTGTCCTCTGGCTTTGATGAGTCATTTATGAAGTCCCCTGCAGCAACTTTTCAAGGTTATGGTTTCACACAGCATTTAACCCCAAATACCTCTCCCTCTCTGCCTGTCTGGTGTCCATGACTGAGCTAAACAGAGATCACAACTGAGTTGTGACAGGATTAATAGGATGAAAATCCTCAGAGCTTAGAGGGAGAGTGCACCGAAGCTCTCACAGCCCCAAGACAGAGCCACGCATGGCTCCTGGAGAATCCTGTGGCCCAAGTAAGCAACCGGCACATTTATTTTGCATTTCGGTTTCCAAATATTGAAGAAAGATTAAAATAAAAATAAAAGCAAAACAGCATCTACAAAAAGACTTGGTACAACTTCAGAGGCCCCAAAACTCAGCAAGCAAAGGCAGAATAAGGACTTTGTGAGAACACAGAAGGTCAGTCTGTGAACTTCTAAGAACGTTTCAGAATTCAAGTCACAAAAATGTCTTTGAGTGTGTATCTATGTATAGGCATTTGTGTCAGTGGGTTGTGTGTGCATGCACTGTGACTATACACACAGACCACAATGACAGTGGCCTGAGAGGCCCAGAGGAACAGTGACAGTTAGGCAAGTGTCATGCTGACTGCAAATGAAGCATCTGTGCACATCCCAGCAGTAGAAGCAATGCATTGGAAATGAACACTGCTTTCCATGTGGGTCAATTGGTTTTCAGAGGCACCTTGTTACTGTCAGAATGAGTCACATAGTCACATGTGGGAGGCTGAGGGCCAAGTTAAGTCTGTGAACTTAAAACCAGGCACTTGGTGAATCTAGAGCTTAAAATAAGAAGACAGCCTCATTTGGGAGAGAGATTGAACCAGGAAATTAAATGACTTCAAGGAGAAACAGAAGTTCCTGCCTGCACAAGCCAAAGGTGGTAGGTGCTGAGGATTGGAAAAGCTTTTCTGCCTGGTTCACCTGAGACCTACTGGCTCTCCCAGGTGGCTTGGTTCCCATTTAGCCATCCAAGAGTCTCTTTGTTCACAGCTGGTCTATACTACCCACTGGAAGCCCAATTCTTCCCTTCCTGCATGTCAAGAGCAGGAGTACTCAGCCAGGATGGGGAAATATACATATATATGTATGTGTATATATACGTATGTATATAGTATATAAGCAGGACACGCAAGAGCTGTTGACATGCTCTTGACTTCCTAAAACATGGTAAAGAAAACAGTTGCTGTTGAGTTGACTACAACTCATAGTGACCCTGTATGTGTCAGAGTAGAACCCTGCTCCATAGGGTTTTCAATGGCTGATTATTTGGAAGCTGATTGCCAAGCATTCTGAGGTGCTTCTGGGTGGACTGGAACTGCCAACCTTTTGGTTGTTGCTGTTGTTAGGTGCTGTTGAGTCAATTCCGACTCATAGCCACCTCATGTGACAGAGTAGAATTGCCCCACTGGGTTTTTTTGGCGGTAGTCTTTGCAGATCGCCAGGTCTTTCTCCTGCAGAGCCGCTGGGTAGGTTTGAACTGCCAAACTTTTGGTTAGCAGCTGATCATTTAACCATTGTGTCACTAGGGCTATGGAGCCACCTGGTGTGTGTATATACATACATACATACTTACACATATATATGTGTGTGTGTGTGTATATATATATTCATATATACACACACATACATATGTACACATTGACTGCTCCAAAGGACTGGTGGATTTGGCTTGTACAATGGGAAAATATTCCCTGGGTGATTTTGATACCTACAGCCAAAGTGGCCTGGGGGAAGTAGCAAGAGATGAGGCTGAAAAGCTAGAGACATACCTGTTTTTTATTATCTCAGAAGCCATGCTAAGGAATTTTAACTTTATCTTATAGACAAATTAAAGTTTTTAGTAGTTGAGTGGCAGAGGCAGATCTGCATGTCAGAAAGACAACTTTGGCAGCCTTGTGTAGAATGAAAGGGGAAGAGGATGAGCTAGGAGTCAGGGGGTGGGCGGTTAGGGGTCCACTGCAGTATTCCAGGCATGAGGGGATGATGGAGGAATTCAAAAGAGAAATTTTAGAGTCAGCAGCACTTGGTCTGGTTAATGCGCAAGGGTGAATCTTCTTAATTTAGTGGTGGGGGGGGGGGGGGGGTGATGGTTCTATTAACAGAAATAGGGAATTTAGGAAAAGGATCATGTCCAGGGAAAAGATGATGAAACCACCATTCAAGGGGCTGTATAAAATCTACATGGTGGTGGCCAATGGCATATTGGAGCCGAATCTGGAATGTAGGGCTGGAGATACAGATTTGAGAGTATCCATCTAAAGGCAATGACAGAAACTAGGAATCTCTGAGACACTATTCTTCAACTTGCCAATGAACCATATGCCTAGCAAGATACTTTTTTTCCAGAGTATTTGGAAATTTCAAGAGGTTCTCACTGTGGGTGTGTGTCTTTGCTTCTCGTGACTGTGGGCTTGGGGTTGCCTGCCCAGCTGACTGTGTGTGTCTTCTGTCTCCCCAGAGCCCCACTGATGTAAAAGGACTTCTCAACCCTCTTCTTCCGCATTTCCCCTTTCTCAGTGTGCAGCACTCTCCAGCCAGCCTTAGATCGCCACTGGGGCTGAGACCAGGAGCAAGAATAAATTTTGCATTTTAGGCATGGGAAGTAGATAGGTTGTGGCATCCAGTGCCCCATTTTATAGATGAGAAAATTGAGATCCAGAGATGAAAGTGCTTGGTCAAAGCCACAAAGCCAGTCACAAAACCTTGCACTACCAGGACGAGGCCCTACCAAGCTCCTGGACTCCCAGCCAGGCACTTGAACACCACAAACTGAAAACAGCGTTTGTTGTTTTACAGGACTACACTCGAGTGGTGTGCCCAGTGATTGATATCATCAACCTGGACACGTTTAACTACATTGAGTCTGCCTCAGAGCTGAGAGGGGGTGAGTGAAGCTAAATCCTTCTCCCTAGTAAGGACTTTCTTTTCTCCTAGTCATTGCTTTAAAGAGGGAGGGACATGAGGGAAAGTCTCATCTTAGTGGTTTGTCTGGAACGCCCAGCCTTGCATCCTGCAATGTAACTCACCCCAGCTTGGCCCTTGCCACTTGGGACTGTGAAAAGAGGTTTCTGGGGAGTGGTCAGGACACTCCCAGCTCCAGAACTCTAGCTCTAACATAGAGCTTACCTGGGACCTGAGGATCCCCTGCTACATGCGGCCTAGATTTTTTTGGCATCTCAGTATTGGGCAGCACCCTCTCCTAGGGACCCACCATAGGTCTCCACCTTTGGCTGGTCCCCAAACCAAGACCAATTTTAGGAGATTCAGGCCATCTAGATACCCCTCACAAACCTGCTTGTACCTTCCTGAGACTCATGGCCAAGGATCACATTCCACAACTGCCCATCTTGTCCATGGGCCCTACCCCTGGGCTCTGCTAAACCTGACTCCGTGTTCTCTGCCCTTTATTCCATAACTCTACCCCAGCAGAGAAGATTCAGAGAAAGAGTAGGAGGTGGAGAAAGAGAAGGAAACAAAAATTTGGCAGCCATGTTACTGATCAGTCTCCATGAGTCCTGTTATCCCTGGGACCAGCTCCCCCGGGAGCCTGGGTGCATTTGTGAACTTCTGGAAAAGGTGCAAAATGGGCAAGCTTTACAAGTACCTCTGGGAGACCAGATCAACCAAGTTGGTGCTGTGTTTTAGGGTTTGACTGGAGCCTCCATTTCCAATGGGAGCAGCTCTCCCCAGAGCAGAAGGCTCGACGCCTGGACCCCACTGAGCCCATTAGGTAAGTAGGAAGGGTGGGGAGGCAGACTTATCATCACTAGTTCCTTCCCGTTGTCACATGGTATAGGGAGGCATTCCGTATTAGATGCTCAAAAGATTGGGAATAGATGAAGAGCACCCTTTGCCAGACCATATCCACTTTTTCCCATATTTTAGGAGGCTTCAGTCATCATGGGGAGTTCTACCAAAGGGGATGGGGGCCTGCTGGAGCCCAATGTTAGTCACCCATACATATGCTATGATGCACTTAGGCTTCCTGCAAGTCCAAGATGGTACCCTTTGGGCCTCTGGTAAGGGAAAAGTTAGCCCTTTAGGGCCAGGGGCAGGGCCCTCTGGTCTTGGATATCAGGATTTAGCCCAGGAAGGGCTGCTGTAAGTGGACGTGATATCAAGGCATGGTCACTGCTGCACATGAATAAACACACCTGCTCCCTTCTGTACAAGAACCTGATGGGAGACATGAATGCTGTGCTGCTTTCCCAGCACTACCAATGGCTTTATCCTGACCTACATTCTCTCTCCTAGTCCCCTCGTGGCCCACAGCACATGGTGGCGAGATGGTTGCATGGGACTCAGGCCCATCGGAGGGCCTGGAGTAAAACAGAGTGCAGTGGTCCACCCTGTGGGGAGCCTGTGGTCTCAACATCAAGAGTGTGTGCTCTTGCTGTTCCTACCTAAGTAGGATGGATGACAGACATGTCCCAGGCCTCTTGGGAGTCTATAAGCTAAATCATATCTGCCTCCCTTGGAGTGTCAGGAGAATAAGAAAAGTGCCTGAAGAATTACAGAAAAGGCCACTGGACTGAGCATTCTCAGCTCAGTGATATAGGGATGTCCAGGACTACTCAAGGGCATCTCTCTGGTGCCAGCCATGTGGTAAATGTTTGATAATTTTCATTGAACTGACTTAAGTCAAATTGAGGACCAAAGGGGTTATGAAGAGTTGGATGGTGACACTCCAGACAGATGGGTGGGAACTCTGAGAACTCTACACTGGGACCTCTGTCTCATCTATGTGCCAGTCCCTCTTCCGTGATCCAAAGTGATGCCAGGAGAGAGATTGGAGCCAGATGACACCCCAGATAATGTCCTTCATTTCTAAAGGGATGTTGGAAACTTTTTACCGTGCTGAGAACCCTGCAATGCACAGCACCTCCTCAGTTACTCTCCAGGGCAGCCGTGCCATGTGGGGTGTGGGTGTGGGAAGAGTGTACACCTGTCTCAACACCTTAAAGGAGTGTACTAAGTCAGGACAAAGGTGCTGAAGAACCTACCTCTGGGTTTTTCCCATCCCTGTCCCAATGGCAGGGTTCTTGGGGACAGTTTCTCTTCTTATGGGAAGGTCTCTGCTCATCCAGAACAGGTGTTTCCCAGGATTCGGCCAGGTCTAGGGATCAGCAGGGTGTTGAGGTATCAGTAGACCTGGATTTCAGACTGCTAACTGAACCAGGAGAAAACTCACTCACCCTCTGGACAGACTGAATGAGGATCCGGGTCCCTAAGGGCTCTCCCACTTACCTCAGCTACTGATTCTTGCAGATACCTCCATGAACTTGCCAGATTACTTGCTGGGACTCTGCTGCCCTTGCCTACTTTCCTCTTCAAACCCTTTATTTTCCAAGTGGCCACTCTGACATCTCTCTCAGCAATCAAAGCTTAGGGGAGGTTGTGGTGGAGCCTCAAGAAAAGAAAATGAAGATGAAGGGTTAGGAGTACAAAAGGAGTAAAAAAGGGACAGAGTCCAGTTTGATGAAATGGATGTGATTTTAATAGGTGCTGCCTCAGCCCTTCTTCTCTGCCCTGGTCAGTGGCTCACTACCTGCTCCCACTAATGGAGTTCCCGAGAGAACCACACTGGCAGAGCCAGTGGGAGAGGCCCATGGATGCTCCCAAGCTCTCAGAACAGCTGGAGTTCTGAATGAGTCCCAGCTTCCCACAGGAGGTGTGCTGATGAGTGGATTAGCCTGTCTGCAAGGTCAGGGAATTTTCAATCAAAGGAAGAATATCCTGGAGCATGTTCTTGTTTTAGGTAACTGGAAAATTTATTGGCCTTTCTGAAAAGGAACAGAAACAAGAGGAAAATGACCTTGAGTTCTGGATGACAGAGCAGAAGAATTTGAAAGTGATCCCCCATCTGTAACCAGTTCTCCCTCTTTTTTCTTCTAAATGCACAGGACTCCAATCATAGCCGGAGGGCTCTTTGTGATTGACAAAGCCTGGTTCGATTACCTGGGGAAATATGATACGGAAATGGACATCTGGGGTGGAGAGAACTTTGGTGAGTTACTGCCCTAGACATCTGTCATGGATTGAATTGTGTACCCTAAAAATATGTGTCAGCTTGGCTAGGCCATGTTCCCAGTATTGTGTGGTTGTCCTCCATTTTGTGATCTGATGGAATTATCCTCCATTTTGTAATGTGTTGTAAATCCTAACCTTTATATGTTAATGAGGCAGGATCAGTGTGGGGTGTATCTTGAGTCACAACCCTACAAGAGGATGTGACTCAAGTCACACCCTTGCTTGAGTCACACCTTTTATCTTACAAGAGATAAAAGAAGAAAGAAGCAAGCAGAGAAGGAGGGACCTCACTATCACCAAGGAAGAAGAGTTGGGAGCAGAGTGTGTCATTTGGACCCAGGGTCTCTGCTGAGAACCTCCTAGACCCAGGGGAAGATCGATGCCAAGACACATGGAGATCTCCAAGGAACCAGGAAATAGAAGCTGAAGAGACAAAGACCTTCCTCCAGAGCCAACAGAGAAAGAAAGCCTTCCCTTAGAGCTGGCGCTCTGAATTCAGACTTCTACCCTCCTAAACTGTGAGAAGATAAATTTCTGTTTGGTAAACCATTTACTTGTGGTATTTTTTATAGCAGCACTAGGTAATAAGAATTTGGTACCAGAAGAGTGGGGTGCTGCTCTAACAGATACCTAGAACATGGAAGCAGTTTTGAAATTGGGTAATGGATAGAGGCTAGAAGAGTTTTAAAGTGCCTAAGAGTAAAACCCTAGATTATCTTGAAGAGACTTTTGGTAGAATTATGGATGTCAAAAGCAATTTTGGTGAGGGTTCAGAAGACAGTGAGGAAGGCAGTAGAGAAAGTCTCTACCATCTTAGAGAATACATATGGTGCCAGCAACAGAATGTCATTAGAAATGTAAACATTAAATGTGCTTCTGGTGAGGCTTTAAAAGAAAAGGATGGACATGTGATTGGACAATGAAGAAAGGGTGATGCTTTTTATGCAGTAGCAAAGAACTTGTCTGAATTATGTTCAAATGTTTGGTGGAAGGTAGGACTTGCAAGTGATGAACTTGGTGTCTGGCTGATGAGATTTCTAAGCAAGATCTTAAAGCGACCAAGTGACTTCTCCTTGCCACTTATAGTAAAATATGAAAAGAAAGAGATGGACTTTGAACTGTGCAAAATGAAAACAGAGCTTAAAGATTTGGAAAATTCTGTTGTACAAACTAAGGACACGTGTCCTAGAATGTTCACCAAGGACGTGGCTACACAATCTTTTGTTAAAGAGATTAAGCCTGTCACTGATGAAGTTAACCAACTATCACAGCAGAAAACCCATCAGCTTAGACTGAAGGGGACAGAAAAAGAACGAAAGGAGAGAAAGTTCTCTGCCTCTCGAAATTCTGCAGGCAGGAAACAGGCCAAAGGAGCTACATCTGTTGTTCCCCAACAAAAGAAAAGGACCACCCCTGAAGCAGCTCGGAGATCAGCAGAACTGATGGAGCATGGGAAATAGGACCTTCTAGGTTTCAAAGGGTGGGGCAGTGGTCTCTTGGACCTCAAAGTGTAGGGCCACAGCCTCCTAGGTGTCAAAGATCTGGATCTTTGCCAACTCGATCTGGAGTGTGGGGCTGCCATTAAGGTGTGCCAGGGGATGGGTCCACCACCTGAGGCTGAGGGGGTGGGGCTGTCATACCCAAGGGACAGAAGAACAGGGCCTATTGGGGCTCAGGGGGTGGGGTCACCACTCAGATGGACTAGGAGAATGGGGCCACCTAAAGCTGAGGGAGCAGAGTTGCTGTCCCAGAGGGCCTGGAAGGCAGCGCTAAAGCCCAGGGCCGAGGGGCCTCCACTCAGAATCCAGAGGGCATGGCCAACACCCAGAGTCTAGAGGGCAGGGCCATTGCCCAGATGGTCTCAGAGAACAGAGGATTAATGTAAATTGTTCTACTTGGTTTTGGACTTGCTTGGTGTCCGTTATCCCTTCTTTCCCTCCAATTTCTCCCATTTGTGATAGAAATGTCTACTTTGTGCCTGTTCCACCACTGTACTTTGGAAACAGATAACTTGTAATCTGGATTTCACAGATGAAGCAGAATTTTGCCCTGGCATGGAATATACCTAAAGTCTCACCCATATTTGATTTAGATAATTCAGAAGATGTGATTTTGGACTTGGAATCGATTTAAGACTTTTGGGATGATGTGATGGGGTGAATGTGTTTTGCATGTGGCGAGGACATGAATTTTGGGGACCAAAGGGTGGAATGTTGTGGATTGAATTGTTTCTTCCAAAATATGTGACAACTTGGCTAGGCCATGATTCCCAGTACAGGCATACCTCGGAGATATTGCAGGTTTGGTTCCAGACCACCTTAATAAAGTGAATATGGCAGTAAAGTGAGTCACACTATTTTTTTGGTTTCCCAGTGCATATAAAAGTTGTGTTTACAGTATACTGTAGTCTATTAAGTATGCAATAGCATTATGCCTAAAAAAAGCAATGTACATACCTTAATTTAAAAATATTGCTAAAAAATGCTAACCATCATCTGAGCCTTCAGTGAATCATAATCTTTTTGCTGGTGGAGGGTCTTGCCTTGAGGTTGATGGCTGCTGACTGATCAGGGTGGTGGTTGCTGAAGGTTGGGGTGGCTGTGGCAATTTCTTAAAATAAGACAACAATGAAGTTTGCCACACTGGCTGACTCCTCCATTCATGAAAGATTTCTCTGTACATGCAATGCTGTTTAATAGCATTTTACCCACAGTAGAACTTCTTTAAAAATTGGAGTTAATCCTCTCAAACCCTGTTGCTGCTTTGTCAACTAAGTTTATGTAATATTCTAAGTCCTTTGTTGTCATTTCAGCATCCTCATCAAGAGTAGATTCCATCCCAAGAAACCACTTTCCTGCTCATCCATAAGAAACAACTGCTTATCCATTAAAGTTTTGTCATGAGATTGCAGCAATTCAGTCACATCCTCAAGCTCCACTTCTAATTCTAGTTCTCTTGCTATTTCCACCGCATCTACAGTTACTTCCTCTGCTGAAGTCTTGAACCTCTCAATGTCATCCATGAGGGTTGGAATCAACTTCTTTCAAACTCCTGTTAATGTTGATATTTTGACCTCCTCCCATGAATCATGAATGTTCTTAATGACATCTAGAATGGTGCATCCTTTCCACTGATTTTCCAAAGTTTTCAATTTACTTTGCCCAGATCCACCAGAGGAATCACTATCTGTGGCAGACAAATCCTTACAAAATGTTTTTCTTAATTAATAAGACTTGAAAATCAAAATTACTCCTTGATCCATGGGCTGCAGAATGGATGTTGTGTGTTAACAAGCATGAAAATATTAATCTCCTTGTACAGCTCCATCAGAGCTCTTGATTGACCAGGTGCATTGTCAATGAGAAGTAATATTTTGAAAGGAATCTTTTTTTCTGAGCGGTAGATCTCAACCGGGCCCGTTGCTGTCAAGTTGATTCTAACTCATAGCAACCCTATTAGACAGAGTAGAACTGCACCATAAGGTTACCAAGGAGCAACTGGTGGATTTGAACTGCCGACCTTTTGGTTAACAGCCAAGCCCTTAACCACTGTGCCTCCAGGTCTCAAGGTCTCAACAGTGGGCTTAAAATAGTCAGTAAACCATGTTGTAAACAGGTGTGCTCTCATCCAGGCTTTGTTGTTCCACTTATAGAACACAGGCAGAGTACATTTAGCATAATTCTTAAGGGTGCTAGGATTTTCAGAATGGTACATGAGCATTGGCTTCGACTTAAAGTCACCAGCTGCATTAGTCCCTAAGAAGAGTGTCAGCCTGTCCTTTGAAGCTTTGAAGCCAGGCATTGACTTCTCCTCTTTAGCTATGAAGGTCCTAGATGGCATCTTCTTCTAATATAAGACTGTTTCATCTACACTGAAAATCTGTTGGTTACTGTAGCCAGCTTCATCAATTATCTTAGCTAGATCTTCTGGATAACTTGCTGTAGCTTCTACATCAGTACTTGCTGCTTCACCTTGTACTTTTATCATATGGAGATGGCGTCTTGCCTTAAACCTCATGAACTAACCTCTGCTAGCTTCAGACTTTTCTTCTGCAGCTTCCTTACCTCTCTCAGACTTCATAGAATTGAAGAGAGTTCAGACCTTCCTCTGGATTAGGCTTTGGCTTAAGGGAATGTTGTGGCTGGTTTGATCTTCTATCCAGACCACTAAAACTTTCTCCATATTAGCAATAAGTTTGTTTCATTTTCTTACCATCTGTGTGTTCACTGGAGTAGCACTTTTAACTTCCTTGAAGAACTTTTCCCTTGCATTCACAACTTGGCTAAGTGTTTGATGCAGAAGGCCTAGCTTTCAGCCTGTCTCAGCTTTTCACTTGTCTTCCTCACTAAGCTTAATCATTTCTAGTTTTTGATTTAAAGTGAGAGACGTGCGACTCTTCCTTTCAGTTGAATACTTAGAGGCCAACGTAAGGTTATTACTTGGCCTAATTTCAATATCGTTGCATCTGAGGGAATAAGGAGGCCTGAGGAGAGGGAGAGAGACAGGAGAATGGCTGATCGATGGAACCATCAGAACACACACATTTATCCATTTATCGATTAAGTTCGCCGTCTTACAGGGGCACAGTTCGTGACACTCCAAAACAATTACAATAGTAACATCAAAGATCACTGATCACAGATCACCATAACAGCTATAAAAAATAATGAAAATGTTTGAAATATTGTGAGAATTACCAAAATATGACACAGAGACACGAAGTGTGCACATGCTTTTCGAAAAATGGTGCCAATAGACTTGCTTGACACAGGGTTGCCACAAACCTTCAGTTTACTAAAAACAGAATATCTGCAAAGCACAATAAAGTGAAACACAATAAAACGAGGTATGCCTGTGTTGTGTGATTGTCCTTTATTTTGTGATCTGATGGAATTGTCCTCCGTTTTGTAATGCGTTGTAAATCTTGACTTCTATATGTTAATGAGACAGGATCAGTGTAGGGTATATCTTGAGTCA